CATTAGTAACCCTCATCCACAAAATGGACTCTAAGAAGTTAGACAATAGGGGCAACTCTGGCTTATTAAATGTTTGATGGGGCTCTATTTTTACAACTGTCTCCACCAAGCAAGCAAAGGATGGAGGCAAAGTCTCCAAATGAGATCTAGTGAATACAAAGAGGGATGTGAAGACGGAAAGGTTTGGGGTGGAGTTTGAACAGCAAGCAATGTGCTCTCTACAGCTGCTGGCACTAATGAGGATAATTACCCCAGTAATAACATTAGCCTATCTGAGGGAATGGAGGGGAAGGACAAGTGGTTGTGCTTTGTGTGAGTGCGCGTTTGGGTGGGTGGGTATATGCGAGCGTGTGTGCGTGCGTGCGTGCGGTTCCTGTATGTGTGAGTGCGTGCATGGCCATGCGTGTGCCTTTCCTACTATCTCACTTGCAGTCTCCCCCTCATTCCCTGAATCTCAATATCTCTTTGTTAGCCCACAATAATTGTATTTGGGCCTCATATCCGCCATATCAGATTCGAGTTTGTACAAGGTAATTAGCAGGGGAAGGGAAGCCTCCACACCAGGAGGACAAATGCCCCCATGACATCATTCTGGCTCCACTCAGGAGGGGAAGGTTGTTATTTTTTTCTTCTTTTCTCTCCCCCGCTTCCTCCTCTTCATCCCTCTTTTCATTCAGCTGTCAAAAGAAGAGCACTGAATAGAGGCAAAAATGTAGTGGCAAGCGAAAGTTGATGACATTGAAAAGGAGGAGAGTTGGGATTTAGAAGATAAAGAAATGAGGAGAGAAAGGGGCGGAAAGTGATTTGAGATGGAGGGCTGTGTTTTCGCCGCAGGCCTGTAATCTCCAATCAGCTTTGACTAACAGACAGCAGGGGAAAGTTCCTCGGCTTTAATGCAGCTTGCCATTCAGAAGGAGCTGCTGTATCCAGCTGGGAGTCGGGGGATGAGGGGAGGATTAACTGGCACTCAGGTGGAGAGAGAAGAAGGGAATCGGATGGAGACCCTGCGGATTGTTGTGCCCTCTCTCACTCTATCCATCTCTTTCTTTTCTCTTATTTAAAGAGTATACTGTACTCTGTGATTTCTGGGTGATGGGTGAAAGCAGGAAGTGAAAGATGCTGCACTCGGGCTGACTTGTATCTGTTTGCAATTTGTATCAATTATGTTGAAGATGAGTCAACAGTCTCTCAAGTGTGCCAGTGTTCAAGGGGTTGTTGTTACTATTCGGTTTTATTACAATTATACAAATTTAGCAAACTCTACACAGCAATTAACAAGAATGATTTATTTTGTGTGCCATGGTACAGTAAGAAGATGAACAGAAGCAGTGAGATGTTTAATCATAATCGACATTGAGAAGTGACCGACAAACATCGTGCCCTTTAATGTAGAATATGTTTGCTGATCCTTTACGGTAGATCCTGTAATCTAATCATATGAAACAGATTTAAATTAATCCCAGGTAATCTCCAGATGCCATCTGTCCATCACCACCGCCCTCCTCTAGGTGATGAAAGTGCCCTTGTTCCTCCTCAGCATGGCCTTTCATCACCTTCACCACTGGACAGCAGATAACAAACATTTTGAGGATGAATATACAGCATCTTTCAAAATAAGTGAATTCATTTAAAAAAAAGAGTTTGCGTGTTCTAAAGAGGTGCTGTGGCGCAAAAAATATAATTCACCATTAACTAGAGTGAACAGTCTACAGAATTATGCTCACACACTCACCCTGTCTTAACACTGTGAACTGTGCTGATGCAGACATTTCTCCCAAGGCATTGTGGGGGATGCAAGAGTAGACCCCTGCGTCAGAGACGTGGAGGCCCTGTATCTGTAGCCAGGTAGACAGTGTAGCGCTGGGGACCACCTCTAAAAAAATGACAGGATTAAATCACAGGAGATTATTTAAATCTATCGAAAGATATTAAATGTATGCATTGGACTTTTTCCTGATACATGATATATACACACATTGTATCACGTGTCAGAAGCCCTTCCATTGTGAATCCAATGCACTCTTTGTTGTGATCATATTGTGAGTTACTGTGTGATTGTCGTCTCACCTTTGGAAAATAGAAAAAACATCCACCAGCTGGATTTTTAATGTGTCTCACGAAAGACACATTAAAAACAGAATGGTCGAAAATCAGAGCAGCAGAGGCAGACCAAGGCCCTGATCACACAGAGCATGGTTTTTATTATTGTTGCTAACCACTAAATGAGTGGTAACGTTAGCTTAACACAAACTATGAACTGTACGCTACCTAATAATTAATAGTACAGTTATAGTACAGTTAAATTAACTAAAACAACTTACCCAAAATCTCAAGAACTGCCTGGATTTGCCTCCAAGCCTTACTATGCGCCTTACTATGCGAGCCTTTGCGCTTGCAGTGTACAGCCTAAGCTACTGTACGCTATACACAATGTGTAAGTATGTTAACAGGCTGACTAGTACTGATTTAACTGAATTTAATGTGTTAAATCAGCGGAATGTCCCTTTAATCAAAAGCATCTTTATCTGTTAAGCAAACTGGGACAAAGACCCTCTGGAACTTGTAACGGTAAAAAATGTTTTAACATGTCCTCAGCATATTTCTCTGTAAGATGTGCAACAGGAAACACCTGCTGTGACCGCAAAAGGTTCCATATGAGACGACAGCAGAAGATACGCTTTCGAGGTGTTAAGAGCAAATATGCAAGACATGGCCCCCTCCTTCTCGTCTCCTTATTGACCTTTCTTACTGTCTCCTTTCTGTTTTGTGAGGGTATAAATTAGAATGTACGGAGATGATTCGGGGGGCATTCTCATCAGACTCTGCAATACGTGTCTGTGAATCTGTTCTCCTTGCTTGCAACGCAATAAATTGACTTTACAACTTTGATCATTCATCAGACTCTGTTTATTTGATATTGATTGAAAACCTTCACTTCCTTCTCCCGAATAGTCATAGAAATATTCCACAACAAACTGAGAATGACAGATCCACAGGACACAGTTGCATAGTAACTGAAGCTCATATCAAACCTGGACAGAAATGTGAGATTCATCTCCTGACAGGAAGTTGTCACTCCCTGTCTTCCTCCAGCCCTGGTTTGGAGGAGGGTAGGCTGAGACCCCACAATCGATGTCGTCCCCCGTGTAGTTGAAGAGGTTTCTGGGGCTTTGGTGTTTACGGGGAGCTGCAGTAGAACAAAAGGAGCACCTCGAAGTTCAAAACTGGGACCCCTAAATTTCCCTCTCAAGAAGACTATTCACATGCACTAAAATCTTGAAAATAATAACAATCCTGCACTGATAACATAAGAAAAGGGTAAAGTAAGCAGAGTGGCAGGACGCTAGTTCAGTGAGCTTAAGGGTTGTGTTGCCCTGGCACAATTTACCCAAAATTAAACTGTAAAATGGTTGCAAACTGAACCAAATGTGCAAGAGAGTGATGGCAGTCTTGGTTGCCTGTGCTGGTCTCTGACAGTCAAACAGTCACATGTTGTTCCTCCTCTGAGTTTTAAATGTTTCTTCTGGCTCCCCTCCTCTGTCCTCTTCTGAATGGTTGGATTAGTTTTCGTAATTATTACCGTGTACCCCTGCTGAAGTATTTTTGACATTTTGTTTACCCCCTTGAGATTTCTTCATCAGCTCCAAGTCTTTTCTAACAAAGAGAGAGCATTTGCAGTGAGTATCCGACTCGTCTCATTTTTATTTCCTCCCAGTTCTGCTGCCTTTCTTCATGTGCCATTGTCTCTGGGCAGTGCATGACGGGCAAACAGGCTGCAGAAATGGCACAGGATCTAAAAACAAATCCTGTTGAATCAGAACTTCATACTAACTTAATGGAAAACGACAGCTGTCTATATGAACATAATGATCACAATATATATTCTACATGCATTATTTAGCATACAAGGATCTGAAGTTAATATAAAACTCTATTTCACCAGCTCTCTATCTAGTGGGGGATTGTGAAATTCCTGCGTTTGGAAACATTATGTGATGATTTCATAATGAAGTGACACAAGCTGTTTGCATTGGGGAGGTTGGCGCCTCTCTGTCTATAAATGAAAAATATGGAGTGTGGGAAAGGAAGGAAATCATTTAATTGAATCTTTTTTTTAAATAATAAGTACATTTAGGCAAGGGGTTATTGTTCACAGAATTAGGAAGGAAGTGTTTGTGCTCACCTTGAATAGTGCGTCGCTAGAATAACAAGGGGCCGGTCAGGACACTTTTGAAGCTTGGTCTTCAGGTGCCCAGAATAAGGAATTAATAATATGATGCATTTTGTGTTGACATGTTCTGATCATTTCCCTCAATCTAATTTAATTAGATATATCAAAAAAAGGATTACACTTCCGATACAACTGCCCCTTATTGTCATTCGCTTATGCGCATGTGCAAACTGTCTGAATGAACCTAAATGCTGTGACTAAATGCACACATATACATATTTAAAAAGTAAAGGTATCTGTAGTTAATATAAGCTGCACTTGCATAAAGGTTTACTGTGGGTGAATGTCTTGGATATTATTTGTTTAGCAACGTGGCACTTTTCCTTTGCCATCCGGTATGAATCAGATTGTACACACAGAGTTGGTGGCTGAGCACAATTACTTCCCTGTGTAAATCATGAATGGTCGGAGGCGTGGCTTTATTAGCGGTGTCTCTGACGTCACGTCACGTGAAAAGCTCACTTTCCACGGCGGAGACTTTAAATACCATGAAGGCACGGATAAGGCATAATGTGAATCCGTTATATTCTTCAAAAATAAACGCCATTTTATGCCAATAATAACACAAGTTTAACGGTGACCGTGGTTATCCGACACGGTGTTATCTCATGTACTAATCATTTAAGAGGTCACGGTTCAAGCTAAAGTGAAACCACTGTTCTGTGGTGCGAATTTAGACACGCGTATGCTTTTATTTTGAAGGAAAAATGCACCGGAAGCTGAGCGCAATCAGGAACTTGACTCTGTTCCACGTCTCACAGGAAGTAAAGAGACGTCTGAAGGAGAGAGGGTCCACTAAATGAACTGACAGATAAACCTTCGTTCTGTCCTCACACACACTTCACCTGCTTCTCCTGACCAGTTTCATCTCGTGACTCTGCCAGGGACGAGAACACACACTTTTACCGGGAAATTCAGTAAGTCTGTCCACTGACATGCTCAGTCATTCCTTTAAATGTGGTCTCATTTCTGACAGGTTGTCAGGGAAGTTGTACCTTTGCTCACTGGCTTAGAGTTAACTTCTTCAGTCTTGATCGTAATTGGCAAAGATGCGGTGGGTTAACTGTTAGGCTACACGGTGACATACTGATATTGGCATTGATATTAAAAACAAATGTCATCGTTTGATATTGATAGGCTAAACATACAGACAGACCATTATTCATATATCTGTTTTCATGGTATAGTATGGCAGAATATAATTATGTAGTGAGGAAAATTAGAGTGTTAGGATTTTTTTTTGAATAGGATGAGTAATAAAAATAGAAGTTGCAGCTTGTTTAGAGTCACTTAAAAGGTGTGCCCTCTCAAAAGATAATAGCTCCCAACAATGAACAGCAGCATGTGCTGACGTATCATCTTGCAGGCACCATCATTGTTTTATTGTGGTTAGACAGGCTTGGCCCGGCCGGCGTGGGACAATATAGGTGGGTCACATATCTGTCAAAGTGGGTCTAGTAAGCTTTTCGGGTGTGGTGTAGAGAGTGTGCACAAGTCATTCTGCTCCTTCTAAAGTTAGGTACCACAGCGTGCCAACTGGAATAATGACAACAGGGTTTTCAATGGACGGTTGACTGTACATGTACTCGGTTGTGTGTTGTGTTTTTGGCAGGTGACAGAATGGCAGGGAAGGTGCTGGTCACAGGTGGAGGAGGCTACATTGGGAGTCACTGCGTGCTGGAGCTCATTGAAGCAGGTTACCAGCCAGTCGTGGTAGATAACTTCAGCAACACTGTCAGAGGTAAGCTCCCTTACTGGAAACACAGGCTGCTGAATAACTTTGTACGTCATCATTAACTTGGCAGTTCCAAGTGGGTTTGTTTGGTACAGTGATACTCGTATCTGATATTGCTTTGTGTGTGTGTGTGTGTGTGTGTGTGTGTGTGTGTGTGTGTGTGTGT